AACACAAAATATACAGTTTTTCAAGAGAAACGTTTCGAGAACATATTTAAGTAAGTTGCACTGAACTTGACTGCGAAGCTTTGTGAAATTCAATCCTCAATTAATGTAGTTTGTGAACAATTCCACTCAGATTTTACTCATTCCCCTCTGTTGGTATATTGTGTCTGGTATGTACCACTTCGTTTCTCTGGTAAAGTAAGGTAAAAGAAAGTGTTATTATAAAACTGAACAGAAAATTTGAGGTTGAAACTGAAAGTTGCGCCAAGCGAGTCATTTAGGTGGTCACTGAATTATGTTTCTGGGCTTTTTATGAAAAGTACAAGCTCTGGCATTCACAGTTTTTATTGTTAAGTTCTAACTTAAGTTAGGATCATGAATGAGTACCATATGGTACCAGTTTTAGAATGGAATGAGCAGATTGTGTATGTTTATTTGGAAATCATGAAATTTAATACCTGGGTCATAATGTGATTTCTAATGGTCCTCATCTCATCATGCAGACTTGTTACTCTGTAAAAAAAAGTTGGCACTTACAGACTTAAGTGAATAAGTCTTTTTATTATCCATTAACATACCCAGATTATGGCTCCAAGCAAATATATGATGCAGTCACCATCAGGAAAACTGTGAAATTATTCCTGCAACTGCACTCGAACATTACACGATTTCCACTAGTTTTCTATTTCGTGAAATGTTAGTTAAAAGGCTCATATTAAAATAGATTTCGAGAGAATGGATGTTTCTTGCTTTAATAGCTTGAGGAAGAATTTATGCAAAGGATCAAAATATGATACCTTTAGGGTGAAATCCGTTCATTTATTGGGATTTTTCTATTACTGCTATGTGATACGTGCCTCACCTTGTAGAGCCGTGACTGGGTGTAGAAGTAGAATGTGCATTTGGGGTAACCTTCAAAGAAAAATGGAAAAATGTCATCCCCTAGAGTGAAGTACCCCTTCGTGAAAATGACACCTGCACGTTGTTCTTTCATATAGTATCAATTGAAGTGAAGCTTACGACAGTGGTTCGTAATTCAAAAGGGATTCAGTTCTTTTCTACTTACCCCACTACTGTTTGGATTATTCCTTGGCCTCTCTGGCAGGGTTTCTGCGACTCGGAGACTATAGAATTAACCAGAAGACATTACGACCTCACAATCGTTAATTTTAGTTCATAAAATGTTGCCTTCGGGTGAT